TTTTTTTATATATATTAATTAATAATATTATTAATATATTAAAATAAAATAATATATTATAAAAATTTATTATAATTAAATTTTTATAATTATAATAATATTTAAATATTTAAATTATTTTATATATTAATAAAAAAACTATTTTAATTTATAAAAAATAAATAATATAATATAAAATAATAAAATTAAAAATATAAATATTTTTATACTATAATTATATTATTATATTATTAAAAAAATTTAATTATTATTAATTTATATTTATATAAAATAATTAATTAATATTTATAATTTTTTAATTTTTTTTTTATCATAGTTATATAAATTTAACTAAAAAATATATTATATATATATATATATATATATATATATAAATATTCTATTAAAATATTGTAATTATTAATAAAATAATTTTCATTTCATTTATTATATGATTAGTAATAAATTATATAAATTTATAACTAGTAACTAATTAGTTAAATGCAGCAAGTACTTTCAAATATAAAAAGTAAATAAAATAAGTGAAACATATTTGTTTCATTGTTATTATTATTCTATATTTGAGATGTATACAATTAATATTTATAACATTTATATAATTATACTAAGATTTAACTCTCTTGTAAATCTAATCAATATACATAATTTAAAACATATAATTATATAGTTTTATCTCACAATAATATAATATTTAATTATATATATCACAGAAAATATAGTTATATATACTTAATTTAATTTGAAAAAATAAAAAAATAAAAAAAAGAAAAAACTTACAAAAATAAAAGTCAATTAATAAAAATAATAGTATAATAAAATATAATTATATTAAAAATTTAAAGAAAATTTTAATAATAAAATAAAAATAGATATAAAAATAAATTAATAATAAAAAAATTAATAATAATAAAAGAAAATATTTAATAAAATAATTTTTAAACTTTAATATTTATTAATAATATAAATTAAATAAAAGTTTTATTTAATTTTTTAAATATATTTTATTTATTATATTTATTTTAGCTTATAAAATTTTTATTCAAGTTTCAATTATATTAGCTAATGAAAATTATAAAAAACATTTATTAATTATTTCATATCTAAAATTTTAATTCATTTTCAATTAAAGAAAACTTCATTATAAATAATAAAATTAATATATTTAAATAATTTAATAAATAAATAAATTTATTAATTAAATATATTTTTTAATATTTTCTTATTTTTATAATATATTTTTTATTTTAAAAAATATGTAAATATAATTATAATATTTAAAATAATGAAGTAAATTATTGTAATTAATTTATTGAATAAATTTTTAACTCTGAGGTTATTATCTATATTGTTAAAATTTATCAAAAAAACAATAATATAAAAGATAAAAGTGATAAAAGAATTCAACTGACACAAATTTATATACATAAAATTGAAAAAAAAAAAATTAAAACATATAAATATATATATATACATATCAACTCTTCAAGAAGAAGAATACATTCTCTTGCTTTGTTGCTAGTTTCTTCTTTCTAGCTCATTCTTTCCTCTCAATTTACCAATTTTTAAACACAGACATGAGAAAATACAAACCCTGTTATCTGACTACAATATAAATAAAAATAAATAGAAAAAAATAAATGAAAAAAAAAATGAAAAAAGAATGAAAAAGTCATTGTTTCTTCTGGTGAGTACATGACTAAAATTGATATGTGTACTTCCTCCTAAAGGAAAAGGGCAACGTACTCCGTAATTGAATAGAATTTCCTGAAATTCCATAAACGGACCTGCCCTTCTTACTTGAGAAGACTCCGTCTGCGCAGGGTAACCATGCTATCATACAGCACATCCTTAAACGCGAACAAGAACGCAGCCGTGAGCACGCTCTGGCTGACCTTGGGCCCGATACCTAGCATTAATCCGGTCAGTACAATTCCCCACAAACCAAACAGACAACCCCTCCAAAAGAAAGCAAAAATACACACCCTTATACAAGCCCCCCCATCCCTCCTCCCTCACAATCCCCATCATAGTCTCATTCAAACTCGCCTTCCTCCCCTCCTCCTCCCCCGTGCCCTTGCCCTTGCCAGCAACATGCATCCGACTCTTCACCGTAATATATGGATACGTAATACTCGTCGCCAGCAACTTGCCCAACGCGCCCAGATAAAACGCATCGGTAGGCGTAATCCGCCTCCGCTTCTCGAGCACATTCTTCAACTGCTCGAAGAACGTATACTGCAATATCGGATTGATAACGAGGATAAGCGCGGGCAGGACGCCGGAGAACAGCGCCGTCGGCCCCTCCGTGCGCAGTAGCTCCATTAGCGTCGCGAGGGTTGATTTCGGCTTCGGCTTCCCGTTCCCGCTCCCCTTTCCACCCTCCACCTCATCACCTCCCTTTCCACCCCCTTTTCTCCCCGCCGTCATCCTCGTATTAACCACCCATATCGGATTCGTAAGCAGCACAGTCGCGCTTCCCGCGATGGCACCTGCAATCATGGACTCGGCCGTGGTGAGTTTCTTCGACGCGCGGCCGGCTTTCACGGCTGCTTTCTCGAAGGCGGAGCGGGTCCATTCGTACCAGTAGTAGTAGACGAAATTTGTGACGGAGATGCCAAAGAGGGCAGATTCGAGGCCAGCGTAGAGACCGCGGAAGCCTTCGCGGGCAAGGATGTGGCGGACTGCTGAGAGGGTGGTGGTCGATGTGCGGGTTGATTCGACTTGGGCGCGGGTTGAGAGGGTTATTAGGGGATAACTGTGTGGAGTTATTAGAGGGGTTGTGAATGAGCTGAGTATAAGAGGAAGGGAGTCGGGTGGTCGGGGGGTTGGGGGTTGTGGGTTGGGGGTTGGGGTTTGGGGGTTGAGCGTTGAGCGTTGAGCGTTGAGGATTGGTGGAAGTAAAATGCACATGCGCATATGCATTGCCCACAAGGTTAGGTACCATAAATGTGAAAATGCGAAGTTTGTAAACAAAAACTAACAGATTTTTAGCCAACTCACGTCAGAATCATGGACAAAATACCACCCCCAGCGCCCGCGAGGGCATGAGCGATGTTATCTGCTCTGCTGCGTGACGGGGGCTGAGGCAGCGGCAGCAACCACCCTCTGCTGCTGCTCTTTCGATACGGGCTGGGACATTATGGGCTTTGACTTCGCGCAGTGCAGTCGTATTATATATACAGGAAATATAAAAGAGCGGAGGGGATGTGGCACAGGACGGGGACGGGAAAGATGTTTGTTTAATCAGGTTGGTCTGCGTTTGGAAAGGAGCGGAAGTGGGCAGCGGGAAGAAAAAAGAAGTGACCTTTAACTAAAAATATTTTCCGTATATATATATATATATATATATATATATATATTGTTTCCTTGGAGGACGGGGACGAGCTTGACGAGAATGCATCGGCACGGAATGAGGCTTTCGGTCGAGGAACCCAACTCATGGGTTGGTTATTATTAAGTTAGTTTAACAAAAGAATGTTGCAGATGACGTTTAGCCGGGACCGGTGCCTCGGCTGGCTTTTGGGCCGAGAAAGCTGAAACGCAGCCCGTTCCATAGTTAACATTTATTATTTAACTCACAACGACAGCAAGAATGGATGGACAGAGTAAATGTTGGATATAGTTAAAGCAGTTCCCCACTCGCTTCATGCTGGCGCAGAAACACAGAAACATAATTTTGCTAAGCTGAAGAAAAACCCTTAGAAGGCTAGAGAGAGCTGTATTCTCAAGTCCTCATCTTACGCAAGAGGCTTCCCTCTGTCACTGTGAAGAGACATATATAATAGCCAGATTAGAAAAAGGGGATAACTTTTATATTATATCACACACTCTCCTATCTCTTTCTATCATTAAAGCAATATAGACATCAGACAGCCTCACAGCAAATCTATCTATATATATACCATTAATATAATGAATGCATCACTCAAAAAGTTATATATAAACAAGGGTTAGCAGAACCTAGAAAGAAGCAAAAAAAAAAAAAAAAAAAAAAAAAAAAAAAAAAAAAAAAATTGTATATCAAATTTAGTAACGTGAGAAAATAAAAACCCATGAGCTTTCTAAAGACATCAGATCGGTAGATCGGCAATAGTAAGAGGAATAATGAATGGGGTCCAGGTTTATGATATAAAAGAAGTTTGCAGTCAGGAAAAGATTTCAAAAAGAGAACACAGAGGCAACAGTATAGAACAGAACAAAGCAAAACAAAAATAAATCAAATCAAACATCAAGGACTCAGAGGAAGGGAGATTTAGCATTAACATCGAACGGAAAAAATACAACGGGCAAAAAGAAAAAGATAAAACAGAACTGTTGAAGGTTAAAAGCAGGAACAGCCACTCCAGTCCAACTCCACTCCACCACACACACTCCAACATACAAGGGGAACTCAAATCTGCCAGGGGAATTAGTAGGGGAGGCTGTGCATTGCTCATGTCAGAAGGAGGGGTAAAAAGTCAGCGGGCGAGTCGATTGATGGGGGATGGGCCAGGGTGAAAGGAAGGGTATACTAGTTGATGTCCAGCGGGGCCAAAGGGGAAAGCAAGAGAAGAGAAACAACCCATTTCTTGACTTGAACGGCATTGATGGAGAAGCCTTCCCCCTGGTGTGATGAAGACGAGTAGAGAAGAAAAGAAAAAGAAATCTTTGGCGCCCTGCTTCGAATGGATGAATGGATGGAAATCACATGAGTAAAAAGGGAAAGCCTTTCCTTCTTGTTGTGGTCTTTTTTGAAAGTTTTCCGTCCGCAGCTTTTGTTCGAGTGTGGGCTTGGGCTTGGGCTTGTAATAGAGATTGCAAAGGTGGCTTGTGTTTGGAAAGTGTTTTGATTTCACGCGGAAGGGCATTGATGGAGGTGGATGGGGCGTATAGAGAGGGGGCGACAACGATGATGGTAAAACGGAAGGCCGAGCATAGCGTATCCCATCCCATCCAATCCCGTCCAATCCCATCTAACAACCCCGCCCAATACCCACCTACCCAGCAACAAATCGCCAGCAGCAAAAACACCACCCACACCCATCCCATCGATCCCATACATAATACATGTACATCCACCCCACCCCTATCGCCATCGCCATCACCATCCCATCCGCTTCAGCCCTTAACCTCCGCCACACACAACCCCTTAACAGCACCCACCCGCAGACCCCGACTGCACTCCCTGCCCCTGTCCAACCTGCACAGTCGGCTTATTATTCACGGTCGCAGTGCCCATGCGCTCCTTAATCTGTCTCGCCATGGTCAAGAACGCCTGCTCGACATTCGACGCACTCTTGGCGGACGTCTCGAGGAAAGGGATGCCTAGGGAATCAGCGAATTCCTGTTTGTTACTGTTAGCAAGGGACAAACCCAAGTCCCGAAAAAAGAACGGTTTGGTGGAAATTGGATTTATCTCCCAAGACGCAAAAACAAATAAAAATAAAAAGTATAAAAAAAATACAAGAACTAACCTTAGCAACTGTATACTCAACCACCTTCTTATCCTCCATATCACTCTTATTGCCGACGAGCAACTTATTCACGCCTTCGGTGGCATAGCGGTCGATCTCCTGCAGCCATTGCTTCACGTTGTTGAAGGAATCCATGTCCGTCACGTCGTAGACGATGCAGATGCCATGTGCGCCGCGATAGTAGGAGGATGTGATGGTTCGGAAACGTTCCTGGCCGGCTGTGTCCCACTGTAGTACCCAAATGTTAGTTTTATGTAGGATCATTTCTTGGATGATGGGGACGTTGGAGTAAGCCGGTGGCGGAAGGAGGAGGTTGACACGTACGATTTGGAGTTTGACAGTTTTACCGTCCAGCTCGATTGTTCGGATTTTCTACAGTGAAAATGGGAGGATTAGCTATTCTGATCCATGTATAATGTCGTCAAATCAATTGGGTCTCTGCATAGGCATAATGAAGCAAACCCCCATCCAACCCATCTCAGCACATTTAAAGGCAAAGCGAGAAGCCAACTTCCCCAGGCCTTCTTTCCTTTTCAACCTCATTCCACAACCAACCAACCAACCCATCACAAACGAGCCAGAAACTACACAAAACACAAAACACGAAGACAAGGACAAAGAAAGAGAAAAAAAGAAACCACTCACGAAATCCACTCCAATCGTCGAAATATAACTCTCGGTATACGTATCATCTGCAAACCGCAGCAGCAAGCACGACTTGCCTACACCGGAGTCGCCGATCAGGAGGAGCTTGAAAAGGTAGTCGTAT